TGTTATTGTTATTGTTGTATTATTATTTTTTATAATTTATAGAATTAACCTTCCTATAGTTCAGCTCAGTCTTGCTTAGTTATTTATTACTTCGACACTCCTGCACTTAGTAGAAGATATCAATCTTTTGGTCATGTCACAAATCCAATTTTTTGTCATCTCAATGTTTTTTTTTTAAGATATCATTCTAATTTTTTTATAAAAGTCAAATCAAGTTTTTACTGATTATCCAACATGTCTTTTATATCACACACCTAGGCTCGTTTCTTGGTAAAATAATTTTGGACCCGCTAAGATGATTGGGTCACCACAAAGCAATTCTCATATGATTTTTTTAGCCCTTTGATTTTTTTCATTAAAAAAGGTGATGGTCTGGTCTACAATGTACAACAAAAAATAACCTAATTATCACTAAACCATATGTATATGTGTGTGTGTGAGAAGATATTTTTGTTTATTAGCACTGTTTTTTTTTAAACAATTGGTCAAATAACATAATTTTAGAATTTTTGGTAAAATAACATAGTTTGTATAACAAAGCAAGTCCAATATGATTGAGAAACACAATATTTAAACTTGTTATTATTTATAAAAGCGAAACATAAAGAAATTGTGAAATGAACTTGTACAATTACAACAAGGAGAGAGAAAGAAAAAGATGTCAAGGGCCTATTAGAACTTTGATTACAATACCACTGATATCATAAAAAAGATCTTGGCAAGATGAATCTAATGACAAAAAGAAATGTCATCAACGGTGACCGAATCAGGCTACACTTGCCACCCAAAGTTAAAGTGAGCATTTATAATTAGGAGAAAGGAGATAGAGAAAAAAAGAAAGGAAAAAAAATACCCTAGAAGTACATTGAAGCTCAAATTATGACAGCACCAGTACCTTTATAAAGATCTCAATAAGACAAATCCAAAGACATCAAAAAAGGTTATGGATAGTGATTGGAGTAGACCACACTTGTTGCCAAAAATAAATGAGTTACCTGCCAACTTTGGACAGCAAATGATGTCCATTTTAGTCACTGTTAGTGACTTTCCATGATGTTATTGAATTCATCTTATCAAAAAAAATTTCAATGATATCAATGATGTCATAATCGAAACTTCGATGTGTCTTCAAAGTCATGAAAAAAAAAACCTTAGAAGCATACTAAAGCTCAAATTATAATAGCATCAATGCCTTTATAAAGATCTCGACAAGACGAATTCAAAAACATTAAGGAAGGTTACTAATAGTGATAAGAGTAGATCAGGCTTGTCATCAAAGATAAGTGAGTCACCTACCAATTTTAGATAGCAATTGATGCCCACTCTGATCACCATTAGTGACTTTTCTTGATGTTGTTGAATTTATCTTGTCAAATTTTTTTTAATGAAATCGATGATTTTATAATCGGAGCTTCGATATGCCTTTAAGGTCGATTTCTTCGTTTTCTTTTTTCATTCTCTCTCCTCATCATAAATTATGCTATCCCATTTCAATTTTTCTTTTTACAATTTTGTGTTTTTGAATAATAAAAAGAATGAATATTTCTTGATTATGGTGTATATAAACTATGCTATTTCATCAAAAAAATTCCCAATTTATTTTATGATTTTTGTTCCTAAATAACAAAAAATTTGAATGGGATGACAATACTACCAGTTTGCTCCCCTTCGATCTCATAAACACAATGGTTTGAAGTGGAAATTGTTTATTCAGAAAACTAATCCAAGTTTGCCTTGACACTGACTTTGTTTTAGGCAAAATTTGGAGGACAGTTTTGGACAACACAGGGCAGACTTAGCCACGTCATCACAATGCAAACTTATCGTTTAGATTACGTGGATTATTGTCCACATATATCATCGGTTTTCTTCCGGCTAAATCCGGATCTCCCCATTTAGACAAAAGAATTTGGCTAAAAACTAAAATAATTATAATCTCATTGCAGCTTCTATATATATATATATATATATAAAATAAAAGTAGGATGGCTGCACCATAGAACACACAGTTTTGCGCTTTATTGTTTCTTATCAGACCCAGTCAAAAAAATCTCCTACCTCCAGCAGCACCGTCTCTTGACTTTCACCTTACAATCACACTACTCTCACGTCCTTGTCTCCCCTCAACTAATATCCTCACGCCACCTGTTCAAAGTCAGGTCTCCCATTCGTCTGTCTAAGTTAACATCATACAGCCACACCAGTTTATAAACCGTTTCCATTTCCAGCCAGAATAAATTTAAGGGGAGAGAGAGAGAGAGAGAGAGAGAAACTTCCTCCCGTGTGTTTTTTTTTTTTTTTAGTTTTAAGACAAAAACACTCAGAAAAAAAAAGAGAGAGAGAAAAGAAAAGAAGAAAAAAACAGTTTGCTTTCTTCTCTTTCTTTCTCTCCGTCTGCCTGCCTTCTAATGTCGCTGAGAAGATCGTTTTTATCGCGAAGGTTCTCAAGATCGTTCAATAACCAGAACAGAAACGAACGAAATGGAGTAGAATCGGGGCGACTCGTTGGTGAGTCGGGGGGTGAGTCGGATGGGTGGGGGAGCATGTTGCCTGAGTTATTAGGAGAAATAATAAAACGAGTTGAAGAGAGTGAGGATCGGTGGCCACAGAGGCAAAACGTCGTCGCATGTGCTTGTGTTAGTAAGAAATGGAGAGAAGTTACCAAAGACATCGTCAAGTCTCTTCCTAACAACAACAACAACAACAACAATAATGGAAGTTCTGGAATAATCACTTTCCCTTCTTGCCTTAAACAGGTCTGATTTTTTATTTTATTATGGCGAATCTAAGGGATTTTTTATTGAATTTTTATAAATATTTTGTGAAGGAATATTCTGTCATTCTGATTGGGTTTTATTTAATTATATTGATTCAAGTTACTGGGGATCTAGGGATTAAGATTTTGTGCTTTTGCTTGAATTTTACTAGATAATTTACCTTAATTATTCTTTTAATTTGTTTTAAATTGCATTAATTTCTTTTAGTGGAAAAAGAAAAACCAAAGATTTTGGAATAATAAATGAAGGAGAAAGGAAATGTTTAAAATTTAAACTTTAGAAGGCAAATAGCTTTAATATAAAGGATTGTATTTTGGGTTTCAAGAATTGATTTTCCAATTTCTCTGCTCTCACAATTGCATCTTTAGACCTTTAGAATATTCATCCATGTTCAGAGAATCATGAGGTGTTAGGGAAATGGTGAAAATTGCTTTTGGGTTTGAATCTCTGAAATTGGAAACGGTAACTTCTTTAGAAAATTATGGAGAACATTTTCATCAAACACTCCTTCTCAGATCCCACTTTGGCTGGGTCTGCATCTGGGACATGGTGTTTTTATATTTTGATGGGATCGTACTTTTGCCTAAGATTTTCGAGATATTCTTCTTGATGTTAGAACATGTTTTCCATTTTTTGTTAGAGTACATATGGTATTAGACAAGGCATGGGTTACCAAATTGTAAATTTAGAATTAAGATCTATTCGTATAACTTGCTGAGCTGAGACGTGACTTGGTTTTGAGAGGTGATTCATGGAGAATAATTGAAGACGTATCTTAAATTACGTTGCTGTTTTTTATTCTATTATTTTCTTTCCATTTGTCATTTCTGTGCAAAATGTTTGTATGATAATTTAGTCACTTTTGGATTCTCTATTGAGCTTGCTGATCCGTGTTGTGTGACTTACTGCCTTGCTGCCATTGTTGGTCAAACATGTTTGAAGTTTTGGAATTGATGATTCCTTTTCTTTTCATTGTAAATGCAGCCGGGTCCACGCGACTTGCCCCATCAATGTCTTATAAAACGGATTAAGAAGACTTCAACATTTTACCTATATCTTGCTCTTACTCCATGTAAGTAAATAATTGGTAGATGTGTGTTTGCAAATTATGAAGATGCACAGAGGATTTTTCTATGTACTAGTTTTGGAGCTAATTAGTTTTTGTGTAAATTGTTGACATATAACTTGCTAGTACCAAAGATGAAAGAGACATGGTTCATTTTGTCAGCCTATACTTTGACTTTTGTCTATGTAGATATTATTGAGTGGTGGCCCAATACTTGTTCAAATGAACTTGACTTGGTCCTTATTTGATATTGTGCATTCTTTTCAACAGATGAAATTTGTTTGATTTAGGTGTCTCACCTATATATTGACTAGCACGTAATGTAAAATTAATTTAAAAAAAAAAAAGTAAAAAAGTAAAGGTAAAAAGCTTTTGAATTTGGTGAACTATATGAGTGGTGAAAATGTTTTTGGTTTCTTCAATTACTTATGGATTATGACTGGTGCCTTGTGATGGTCAATGGTTCAACGTGAATTTGTAATTGAGTCTGGAAACTTGGATCCAACTTTTCTTCTGCAAACATGGAGATTTTAAGTATAGAATCATATAATTTTCTAAAAATCTATTAGCAAATGGCTCCGGGATGAGTTTTCATTGTATGTATAAATCTGAGTGTCAAATGTGCAGTCGAATAAACAAATTATACATGTTCTTCCTCCATTAATTCAAGTTTTATACTCTCGGAGTTTGACACAAAATATTCCCTCGTGTGCTGATCATCATGTGATAGGAAGTAGCAATCTGGGCAAGTTGTATACTTTTTAAGGGTCGGGGCGTGATATAATCCATCATAGCAGAAACTGTTGAGTGCAAGGACTTGCTTGGATGTTGTATCAATCAACAACTTTGAGTTTTATATTTGCAGTTTCATTGTTTCTCTATAAGAAAAGTTCTGGTACTTGCACCACAAAGAGTTGGTGCTCAAGCAAGATATAAAATTAAAAAAGGATTATAAATGTACTGTCAGGTACTGGTTTCTGAAGTGCACATAGAAAGTAAATCATGAAAATGTTTGGTTAGAGAAAATTAGAATTGTATTCAAATTTCTTTTATGGTAATGGTTTCAATTTTTTTCTTTTATAGAAGTGGCTCACATTATTGTCCTTGCTTTTGGTAATTATTATTTGTTTTTGTGTTTTTAAAGTGCTTTTGAAAAAAATTAAAATTTTTTATTTATTCCTTTGCTTCAAATTAATATTTTTTTGGTGTTTTCAGATCATTTTGATAAGCTGATGTTAAAAATAATTTTTTAAAAATAAAAAAAATATTATTTTGATACATTTCCGAGTGAAAAGCACTTTGAAAAACAATCATTAATGCACTCCCAAACACCCCCTTGGAGGATGTCGTAAGCCATGTTCGGAAAGGGAGAAAATTTGAGATGTAAGTAGGCAGTACTGAACAATCAAGTTTATAATGAATGGCTTGACTTGGTATGCAGTGTGCTCTGAAGTTCGTAAAAATTGAGTTGCAAATTATGTTCTAGTCTTACTTTCTATTTTCCTTTCCTGGATTTCAGTTTTTCATCACTATATTATTTGTCTTGTCATGTGACTAGCATAATTTAAACAATTGAGCATTGTCTCATATGAGATTCTCTTTTGTTTTTCTATCTAGCCTTTACGGATAAGGGGAAGTTTCTCCTGGCAGCACGGAGGTGTAGGCATGGTGTTCACACAGAGTATATCATCTCACTTGATGCTGATGACTTATCCCAAGGAAGTAATGCTTATGTTGGAAAGTTAAGGTAGGGTATTTTTGTATCAACAGAAGTCTTGATTGGTTGTTTCCAAAATAATGCTTTTAATGGATGTAGTTACTGCCTACCCATCAATTTGTGCTTGGGAGTTTAGGAACCATTTGCACAGTTGCTAAGAATCCAGATAGCATTGTTTGTTCTCATGTTCATGCTTTTCATTCACATAAATGCCAGTGTTTGGATGATCAAGTTTTCAGGTTTTGTTTCTTCGTGTTGAGCTCTTTTACTATTATTATTATTATTATTATTATTATTCATAATACATGGCAGTTCATTATAGAAGTAATATCTATCTGAATTGGAAGGGTACCTTGTTTAGTGTCTTGTAAATAATAAAGTTTAGTATCTTGAATAATAGAAAAGGTTGTCGCTCGGGGACAGCTTGTGATAATACAAGTCATGAAAAATAATTCCATTGCTCCTTTGAATATGCAGTTCAGACTTCCTCGGTACCAACTTTACAATATATGACAGCCAGCCACCACACAGTGGTGCTAAGCCCTCAAGTAGCAGAGCTAGCCGGCGATTTGCAAGCAAGCAAATAAGCCCTCAAGTCCCTGCAGGCAATTTTGAGGTTGGGCAAGTCTCGTATAAATTTAACCTCTTGAAGTCAAGAGGTCCAAGGAGGATGGTTTGCTCACTTAAGTGCCCAGTGTCACAAGAAACTACCAATGTCAAAAATGTTGACAACTCAAAGATAACGCAACTGGAGTCTGCTTCTTCTGGTTTTACAGTTTTGCGGAACAAAGCCCCAAGGTGGCATGAGCATTTGCAGTGTTGGTGCTTGAATTTCCATGGTCGGGTAACGGTAGCATCAGTGAAGAACTTTCAACTGGTTGCGACCATGGACCAAAGCCAGCCAGGAGGTAGAGGAGATGAGGAGACTGTCCTCCTCCAGTTTGGGAAGGTAGGCGATGATACTTTCACCATGGATTATAGGCAGCCACTTTCAGCTTTTCAAGCGTTTGCCTTGTGCCTGACTAGTTTTGGCACTAAACTGGCATGTGAGTAATTTACGTGGAATAATTATGATGTTAAAATTATGGATTCCGGTGTATGTTTTGTTATCATTCTACAAGTGTTGGTTTGGCTGGAAGAAGCCATTGATGTAAATGCTGTTATTGTATCAATGACAAGAGCTTAAAATTTTTCATCTCCAATAATTTGGTCTCTGCCTTCTTCACTAAAGTACTCCAATAGTGCACGTTTTTCATCTTCTGGTTTGAGCTTGGCGCTTTCAATTTAGATGGTGGGCAAGGAAGCCTCGGCGCACAAAGCTCCTTGCAGTTCCCTCCGGAGACTGTCATGGCAAAAATATTAGACATTGTTGTGTTATATGCCCTTTGATTTCTCCTACGGTTTTAATAAAGCTCTCAATTTTCAGTTTCTTCCCCACGCGATATTTTATGGAAGGATAGGATTTCTGGGTGATGGCTTGTTCAATTGGTGTAAAATAAATCAGTCTTAGCACATGGTCAAGAAGGCAAACGCCAGCGATCTTAACAGCAAACTGTCAAAAGATAGGTTCTATCATTGCAGTATTTCCTGTACCGACGTGGTTTCCAAGTTATGACTTGAGATCAAATTGCACCGCCGAGGGCGTCGAGAAAGGCAGAAGGGAAGGGGTGGCCAAATCGCAAGGATCTACGTCAATGAATTCGGCCTAAGAAAATTTTGCAATCCTGTTCTCCGCAATATAATTTCCTTTCCAGATGGTCAGGGCAGCTATTATAAAGAGCTCTGTAGCCAGCTCAAGTCGCTGGATGCAGAGGTCTTTCTCTAGTCCCGACCAATGCGCGTTGCACAAGAAACTCCCAGTACGGTTGAATTAATTTTGAAACCTGTCACCGTCTTCCTTGCTTGAATTTTAAATTAAATCCAATAACAGCAAACTTGATGTATCTTCATCTATTTGACTGGTCTAAAAACACCAACAGCGCATCATGATTTTTTGTTTTACCATATTAATCTGGTAAAAAAAAAAATAAAAAAAAATTATGAAATTGTGATAACTTTAAACTTAATTTTCAATTAACATATCATCAAAAAATAAAAAAATAAAAAAATTTATTATATAAAAGAATTTATTATATTAACCCACGATCTAGGTCAATACGTCATATCCATAAACAAGTGCATGAATTTTCTAAACTTAAATAACATGGTTTTTTTTCTTTTTCAAACATAACTTTGTTTAATATAATAAAAAAAAATAGACAATCAAAATCAAGCTTGGTTAGGAAGAAAAAACACTATCAAACCCATAAGCTAAAACAACTCAGGTATCATGTCAAACCTGCAAACCTGTCATTAATTCTATAAAATTTAATAATTTAATTTTTTAAAAAATAATTGTTCATTTAAGTAAATGTTAAAAAATAGGCAATGTCAAGATGTTGGGATATTTTTCCTGATATTTTACAAAATACTATGAATCACAATTAAATTTTTTATATTTTTAATTTAGTATCGCTTTTTTATCAAAAATATTTTTTAAAACCATATGTCAACAAATAAATGATCAAAATCAAGCTTAGTTTTTTTTTTTAAAAAAAAAGTATGATGCTAAACCCATGAATCTAGGCAATCCAGGGTACCAAATCTGGTCATTGACTGCACAATATTTAATAATTTATTTAAAAAAAATTGTATAACTAAATGTTAAGAAATAGATGATGCTTGATGTGATATTATTTTTCTGATATGAATTTGATAATGGGATATTTTACAAAATATTATGGATACAATTAATTTTTTTATATTCTTAATTTAGCATGGATTTTTTTTTTAAATAATTTTTTTAACTATATGTTAAAAAAAAATAGATGATCAAAATAAAGCTCAGTTAAAAAAAAGGTACAAGGCTAAGCTCGCGAGCCGAGATAACCCGAGTTACAACACTAACCCCGCAAACCTTATTATTGACTCCACAAAATTTAATAATTTGGTTTTTTCTTGAAATAATTTTTTATTTAACTAAATATTAAAAAATAAATGATGCCGAGATGTTAGAAATATTTTTCCAAAGCCAATCCGATGATAAGATATTTTACAAAACACTATGGATCACAATTAAGCTTTTTATATTTTTAATTTAGTATCTTCTTTGCGATTTATACTCAAGAAATAGCATCAAATCTAAAAGAAAAAAATGAAGGGTGAAATTAAAAGAAAAAGAATTAAAAAACTATCTTGAATAAAAAAATAAATAAAAAAATAGGGACTAGATTTAAAAGAGTGAAAGATTTGAGGATAAAATGTAAAACAAAATCTAATTTTATAAATTATTTTTTTTAAAACAAAAAAGATGAAACCAAAAGAAAACAAACTTGAAGGATGGTATATAAATTTAGAGAGTCAAATATAGATTTTTAGGAGGAAAAAGAAGAGAAAAAAAAAAGTTAACGACACCTCAATAGAGGTCAAGCACATACCGTTAATAAGGAGGAGGAGAAGACCAATGCAAATCAAATGAAGTAGCAGACTAAATTTTTGAACCATCAAAATGAGTAACACATGTCACCTGAGGAAGCAGAGTGACTGACGTATACAAATTACATGTTAGCAATATTTTTTTATTTATAAAAATATCACTTTGCCCCATAACTAAATAGTTATTAAAAAAAACTTGGAATAACAAGTAAGCACTTGTAGTAAAACCATTAAAAAATTAAAACAAAGGGCAAAAGAGTCATTATATTATAGCACAAAAAAATTTAAAAAACCTAAAATACCCCTAGAACAAAGCTAAATGTTTTTTTTAAGGCAATAAAGTACTTTAATGGTTAAAAAATTAGAAGAAAAAAAACCAAAAAAATCAATATTATAAAATTATCCTTGGAAGATAGTTTTGTATGATTTTTTAAGAATAAAATTGCAAATTCATTATTATAATTAACAGTAAATTAAAACATATTTACAATAATTTTTTCACTATAATATTAAGTACAAGTGAAGGTAATCCTGAAAAGTAGTTTAATTGGTCATATGTTGAAAAATAATTTAATTGGTTACATGTTAAGTTTACTTATGAATAATCACAAGTTCATGTTTCTAAGACCACTAGAGACTTGTAAAGTATGATCATAAATTTAGGTTTCTAAAACCTTATAAAGTTATTAACTTTAGAATACATAAAATTAATTAAAATACTTATAAACTTACTTGAACAAGCCCATAAAATTAATTAAAATACTTGCAAGCTACCCCAACACTTATGCTAATAAAAAAATATTACAAGACCTAATAGGAAGCACACTTCATGGTTTGGAGGGGAAGCCTAAAATATGAATATCAGAACGACGGTCGAACCCTACTAAACCACATTTCATTAAATTTGCTAGGCTAGCTTTTATGGCTTCTGTTAATCTAAATGATGTGATCAGTGCAACAACTCATCCAACATCCTCAACAAGTGGCACCGTGAACTTCCAAATTAGAGGTAGACAATTTCATCACTTCATGCAATGTGGAAGGTCATTTACAAAATGGGTCTTCGTTTTTAGGTGAAAATTCTTACAAGTCTAAACCATACAAAAGATTTTGGTCCATAAAACACAGGAGGAACCAAGGGACAGAAAGGTAGATCTAAATTCAAAGACATCACACGGGTCAAAGCGACTGTTCCTTACATGCGAGCCATAACAAATGTCGAAAGGGTCCCATCTGCACCACCAATTTTAAGACTCATGAGACAGCGGGAAACAACTTTATAGCTCATTGCTGTGTTTCAAATCCTACTTCACTTCTTTCCCCGCAGCTTCACACCAAGAGCCCTCTCCAGTTTGCCTATAATCTGCTGATTAGGAATGGCTTTCCCAGATTCGTACTCCTGAATTATCTGGGGCTTCTCATTGATCAACTGCACCGGGAGGGAAAAAATAAGAGTACTGATATAAAAGCTGAAGTTATTGCGGATGAGAGAGGAGAGAGAGAGGACCTGTGCAAGTTGAGCCTGGGTAAGTTTCTTGTCCGTTCTACCCTGCATAATTGCTTTCTTCAGTTCAGTTGGCACTCGGTCATCTGTGGGAAAACAACACAAACAGACCAGAAGGTTTTAGGAAGATTTTTTCTTCCAGTGGTAAAGAATCACACATCATCTAACATAAACAAGAGCAACTTGGGAGAGAGCTAAAACCAAGTAGCGAGGTACATGAACATGCTAAAACACCAAAAACTTGTGTGGGGATGATTTATAGAAACATGATCATCATTTTGTGCAATATTATACATGAAGATGATCAAAGAAATGAATGTGAAGGTCAACTGAGCAAGTTGCATCTAGAAGTAAGATGCGTGCTCTACTTATTCAGTACATAGAAACATAAAAAAAAAAACACACACACACACAATTTAATTTTAAACAACTGTTCCTCATTTGAATTCCCATGATGACTTAAAAAGACTGAAATACAGGATTTTCACCATGAAGAGACAAATTCTAAAATGATGACAAGAAAAAGGCAACTCTATACAGATTCCTTTAGGAACTCTCTTCGCTAAAGATCAAAAAGGAAAAGTTTATCTCTAGATGAGATTAAAGGCTACCTTATTTTAAGTCAGAGCAAGCCGATGAAAACACAAAGTTTCATCAGCAAACAAGCCTCAAGATCCTCAAAACTCATCAATCAGTGGATTAATTTTAATAGAGAACTGCACAGTCAATTAACATTACTTATACACAACAAGATAAACACAGAAAACCATGAAGACTAAAAATACAACAATGTTAAAAATAGTAATATAAACACAGAAAACATGAAAACTCAAACACAAAAATGTTAACAATGATTCATCATTCAGTAGATTAATTTTAATAGCGAACTGTAACGCCCCAAACGCAAAAAAAAAAAAATACAAACAATTACCCAGCAAAGAACTTTTCACATGTGTGCAGATGTGCAAGAAAACAAAAGGATATATGTTATGTTATACTCACGAGCAAGGTTCTCTGTTTCTTCATCGAGCTTCCTTGTGTTCAAAGAAGTGCTGCTAGAAGCAGCCTTGTTCGTACCAGCAGTTGCTGCAGGTCAGATTAAAATACAATCATTTTAAGTTCACACAAACAAACATGATGGCAGTTTATTCTTTTCCCTAGCTGCCATATTATAGTTTTTCTTTTTCCCCTAGATTAAAGTTTTTAAAAATTTATAAAGTAGGAAATATAGATGCATATTTCTTTCATTTAATTATTTTATATTCACAACAGGTTAATAATAATTTGAAAATGAAAAGTTGAAAACTACCACTTAAACCCTAATCTTTAAAAATGAAAAAAAAAAAAACCTGAACTCTAATGGTGCTTGTTATCACAATAGATTCCACAATAACAAATACAATTAGAGATCCAAGACAATTCAAATGTTCTTTAAATTTTTTATCAAGAAACAAACCCTAACTTTACTATCATCATCAACGATACGCAAAAAAAAAAAATCAGAATGTTTGGATTGACAGATTGAGTTAAATTAACCATCTAAATAATACGAGAGAGGATAAAAGAGGGGAGGGGTACATTTTTTGATGGTTTCTATCTCAGCACCGGAGCGGCGGGCGGCGTTGACGGCCTTCTCATCCTTCTTGGCGGCGGCGTTGGGAGCTTTCTTGCGGATCACTACGGGTTCCCAGTCCTGTGAGATTGGTCCACCTCCTGACATTTTTTCCCTCTTTTTATCAACAATAATATCTTTCTCTCAATCTATATCTGGTTAGGTGATTTTATATGTTGTTGCGTGTCTTTATCTCTGGTTTTTAGGACTCTGGCTTCCGCTTCTCGTTATATAGGAATAGTAGTAGGGGCTATCCTCAAATAAAAAAGAATCAGCATATTACGTGGCGAGCAAGACTAATCCCAATCCTAGCCTAATGAATTTGGGCCCCATCTACAGTCAATTTTTTTCTATGGGCTTGTGGGCTGCATGCAAACCTTCAGAACCAAAATGCATTCCTTCCCTTTAGGGAAA